CAACGTTTACATCTTGAGRAATTGACTCTTCACCCGCTCTTGCTCCTTGTGCAGATGTCTCAGCCAATCTCTGTTTCTTCCTCTCCCCCTCATGACTATAAGGATCATCCTGGTCGTCATGCTTTCGTTTAAGAGATTCGGCTTTAGACTTGCAAGATTCTTCAAGTATAGACACTCTTTCGGCAAGAACATCTATTGAACGTTTCAAATCAAGGGTATTAGATGTAATCAAGTGACTAACTTTAGAAAAATTAGCACTCATCACATCCTGAAAARTCHAAAACTCTWAGGCTCGAATTACTAGGTTAGCATCAATTTGTTGACGAAGAAGGCCGACCAAGTCTGCATCTTCGGCATTTTCGCTTTGAGCAGCCATCAATTTAACATAAAGTAATGATTTCAGCTCGTCCACCGATAGTTCCGGTACTGATGATTCTGGTACAGRTGGTGGTGATGGCACAGAAGGTGGCTCTTCGACAACTTGCTCTTTCCCTTTAAGTAACCTCTTCAGGCTAGCAATTTGTGCATCAAAGTTCTCTTGAACAGCCTTTAGGGCGCCGTCCAAATATTCCCGTGACACAAAGTCAGGTAAAATCACACCTGGATCACTTAGATTACCAGTTGAAACAACAGTTGAGTAAACTGTTGTGCCTATGTTCAATGTTGGCGTAATGTTAGCATTGGTAGGACTTCCGACCTGTCTTTGTGATATGTCAACAGACATCACTCTGGTCGTTTCGGCTAGTTCACTAAGAACTATACTTGGAGCAACAGATGCTCCTGACTCTTGTGTACCTATGTGTATCGGCTCTAAACTCGAGGTGCACAGAATCGAAGTCKTAGGCTGGGGCAGCGGCCTACTTGTTTCAATAACTACATTCTCCAAGTGAGAAGTAGTTAGCATATGTGCTAAATCCCCATGAGAAATTGAAACAGTTGGTTGTTGAGAACCAACTGAGTGGATAGGAAAGGTGTGCAACTGCATAGCTGGGCTAGCTACGTCTTGTTCAATACTAACATTCAACACATGAATGTCAGTAGTAGATGTGGGTGCCCGGCTAACTGTTTCAGTTTGGATAGGAGCTTGTACTTCTTTTTCTGCTCCACTCATACCCTCTCCATGTTCTTTTTCTTCCCGTTCTCTCAAGCTCTCTTGATTTTCAACTTCAACTCCCTCATCTCCTCCTCCAGTAGACATATCTTGAAGTATTCGATCATAATCATCAACATTAAAGGATAATGATTGTAGACTGGGACAAGTTTGTTGAGTTGCATATTCAGGGAAGATTGTGGCAATATCATCAACAAATGTATCAATATGCGCAGTTGTTGCATCATCATCATCATTATTATCATCATCACTAGAATCTGCTCTTTTATCAAATTCAATAGCTTCTGAAGAAAGAGAAGCTCTGGCAGTTAAAGTGAGTTGTTGATCAGAAGCTCCCCGCACCAATTCACCCCTCTCAATTACATTTTCTCTCAGCTCACTACCCTGTTCAGGTATCCCTT